TTGGGAGGGATCTGGGGGCTGTGGGTCGGGGTTGAAGGGCACTGGGGAGAGCTGGGGGCTGTGGGTCGGGGTTGAAGGGCACTGGGGGGGCTGCGGGTCAGGGTTGAGGGTCTCTGCAGACACCCTGCGTTCCCCCCCTTGCAGAGGAAGTCGCGGCGCTATTACCCCACCCGCCTGGCCATTAACTTGTCCTCAGGAATCTCCGGCACCACCACGGACACCCACAACCAGGGCTTCGTTGTTGTAGAGACCAATTACAGGGTCTATGCGTACACAGGTCAGAGGTCAAGGGCCGGGGGTCACCCACCTGGCTAGTCTCCGACCCCCTATCCCCTCCTCACTGCAGCTTCCTTCGGAGCCCAAGGCCAGCACATGGGGAGTGTGGGAGTAAATGAGAACAGCAGCTGCTGCCTCACAGGCCAGAATCATGGGGGGAGGGGGGGAAAGTCAGGACTCCTGGGTTCTATCCCCAGTTCTGGGAGGGGAGTGGGGTCTTATGGTTAGAGAAGGGGAGGCTGGAAGCCAGGACTCCTGGGTTCTATCTCCAGCTCTGAGGGGAGTGGGGTCTAATGAGTCAGAGCAGACAGGGGCTGGGAGTTAGGACTCCTGGGTTCCATTCCCAGATCTCTGTGACCTTGAGGGGCACATGCCCTTTCCCGTGCCTCAGTTCCCCCCCCAACACAGGGTCAGTGATCCTGACCCCAGTGTGTAAATGCAGGGAGATCTATGGGTGTGATCCCCCATATGCTGCGAAGGGTGATGACTCCCTGGGGAGCACTGATTCCATGGGATGGTGCTGGCCATGCCTCCAAGGGGCGAGGCTTCCCTAGATAAGGCCACAACCTGATTGATTGTCTCCTATCCGCTGCCACTCCTCTCCCCGCCCCGCCCCAGACTCGGAGCTGCAGATCGCGCTCATCGCACTGTTCTCCGAGATGCAGTATCGCTTCCCCAACCTGGTGGTGGCCCACGTGACCCGCGAGAGTGTCCAGCAGGCCATCGCCAACGGCATCACGGCCGAGCAGGTGAGAGCCGGGGGCAGGGGCCATGGGATCACAGAGACCCGGTGAGGGCTCCCACCTGGGACGGGATCGCCCCGAACCCAAGCAACGGGGCTCCCAGCTTGCCCCTTGGGGGAAGAAACGGATCAAACATTTCCTGCTTTGGATAGCCCAGTCCCCTTCTCTGCACCCCCACTGGGAGGCAGGACTCCTGGGTTCTATTCCCAGCTCTGGGAGGGGAGTGGGGTCTAGTGGGTTAGAGCAGGGGGCGCTGGGAGCCAGGACTCCTGGGTTTTGTCCCCAGCTTTGGAAAGGGAGTGGTGTCTACTGGTTAGAGAAGGGTGAGGGGTGTCTCTGAGGCATCATATGGACCCGCGCTCACCCCTCCGATGGGACAGTCTGGTTACGGGGAAGGATCATCCAAGACGGGGTTGTACCCCAGCCCTGGGGGGAGGGACAGGCTGTGGGTGGCTGCTAGGGGGTGCCGGCCGGTTACAATGTCCCCTCTGCCTGCAGATCATCCACTTCCTACGGACCAGGGCACACCCTGTGATGCTGAGACAGGTGAGGGGCTGGGAGTCAGGATTCATGGGTTCTATCCCCAGCTCTGGGAAGGGAGTGGGGTCTAGTGGGTTAGAGCTGGGGGGCTGGGAGTCAGGACTCCTGGGTTCTATCCCCAGCTCGGGGAATGGAGTGGAGTCTAGTGGGTTAGAGCAGGGTGGGAGTGGGAGGTGGGAGCCAGGACTCCTGGGTCCCCACTGATGACAATATTTCCCTAACTCCTAGGGGCTGGAGTGAACTAGCCAGGGCAGAGATGAAAGGGGCTGAGCTAGAAGAAAAGCTGATCATTGACGGAGCAGGGCAGGAGCAGGGCAGGTGAAGGACGGGGGTTAGAGACAGGGGAGGGTCCAGCGACCCAGTGGGCAGAGGGGAGGGGGCAGATACCATAGAGATCAGGGCCCTATGGGTGCCTAGATGGTCTCTATCCTTGGGAGCTGGGGGTTGGTTGTGGGGCCAGTAGCTGCTGAGTGACTCCTCGCCTGCTCCTCCCGCAGACCCCAGTGCTGCCTCCGACCATCACGGATCAGATCCGGCTCTGGGAGCTGGAGCGCGACCGGCTGCGCTTCTCTGAGGGTGAGTGTCTTGGGGGAAGGGCTGGACACTGGTGGGGGCCAGCAGCAGGGGAGGGGATGGTGCCCTGATGGAGTCTGATTGGTTTTTTCCTCCCTCTCTGCCCCATTCTCCTCTCCTTTCCCTCCCTCCATTCCACTTACCCATCTGTCCTCTATACAATTCTCTGCCCCATTCCCCCTTTCATCTCCCTCCTCCATCCCACTTATCCATCATTCATCTCCCCCGCCTCATTCTCCCTCCATCCTTCCCTCCCTCCCTTTCCCCCTCCTACTTATCCATCTGTCTGTCCTCATCCCCTTCTCGGCCTCCTCTTCCTCCTCATCCCCCACTCCACCCCTTTCCCCCCTTTATCCATCCATCATTCCTCTTTTCTGCCCCATTCCCTCTCTCGTCTCCCCCGCTTCATCCATGTCTCCCACTATTCCTTCCTTCCATCCTCCCTTCCCCCTTGGCCCCATTCTCTCTCCTTCCATCTCTCCATGTCTCCCACTTTTCCTTCCATCCATCCATCCTGCCTCCTCCGTCCTGTTCCCTCTCCGTCCATCTTTCCATGTCTCCCACTTTTCCTTCCATCCCTTCCTCTCTTTCCCCCCGTACAGGGGTGCTGTACAACCAGTTCCTGTCCCAGGTGGACTTTGAGCTGCTGCGGAACCATGCCCGGGACCTGGGCGTGCTGGTCTTCGAGAACCCGGCCAAGCGCCTCATGGTGGTGACACCCGCCGGCCACTCCGACGTCAAGCGCTTCTGGAAGAGGCAGAAGCAGAGCTCCTGAGGGGACCCCGCGCCCGGCCCCGAGGATTGGGCTGCCGCTCCCCGACATCTGGTGCAGGGGGGGATCCTGCTGCACTGAGTGTCCAGCGGTTACATCAGGAAGCTCAGTGGATCTCCAGCAGGGAAGGGGTTAAATTGCAGCGCCTCCCCCTCACCCCTGCACACCCTTTCCCCCAAACTGGATCTCTCCTTTGGCCGATCTCTTTCCAGCAGCGAAGGGGTTACATGATGACATGCCCCCCTTCTCCCCTGTGGGGGCTAACTGGTCCCATCCCTCTGCATCAGTTTTTGAGGGGCTACTTCGCTGATCACCCCAGAACCCCTGGCTGGGGGTGGAGTTGGATGCACCTTCCAAGATGTGTGGGTCTTCTGCACCTTGACGTCTGTGGGGGGATCCAGGGCTGGGTTATGCTCCTCATGCCCCCCACCCCCCAACCCTTGATGCTTTCCAGCAGCCAGAGGAGGTTCCTCTGGGGCTTTCTCCCCTAGGGGGCGCCAGCTCCCATCCTGCCCTAGGCCAGGGGCCAGAAACAAAGTGACTGACCCTGCTTTTGCCGATGGGTGTAAATGAATAACCCCACTGGCGTTAGTGAGGCTGATCCCCCTCTCAGCTGGTGTAAATCTGGAGTAACTAAATTGAAGTCACACCTGATTTGCACCAGTGGCAACTCCATGCACGGAACTGGAGTGACCTGATTCACACTGGCCGACCGGATCAGAATCCAGCCCTGACTCTACTGCCATCGATTGGCTGCTCTGGATTGACACCGCGCTCAGCATCCAGCCCTGGCTCCAGGGGGTCTCTGGATTTACACGAGGGGAACAGGAGAATCCAGCCCAACACCTGTAAATAGTTTTTTGTAAGTGTTGAGAGAGGACTGAATAAAGCTCTCATTTGAAAGTTTTGTATTTGCTGTCTGGCTGGCAGGGCGTCATCATTCCTGGCTGACACAGGGTGCCCCCTACAGGTAGGCGTGGTGTAGCAGGGGAGCCCTGACTTGAATTTCCCTGCACCCAGGGGAATATCAACAAGTCCAGGTTGTTAGACGCTGAAGGGCACCCCCTGGTGGAGGGGCTCAGGCCACAGAAAAGCCAACGCAGAATCTAAAACTCTCACCCCAACAAACATCTCGGCTGGGGGAGCCTGTTCTTAGTGACTCTGTCCCCCACTGGAGGCCAGCGCTTGCCTTGACTCAGGTCTAAAGAGGGACTTTTGTGGCCGGGGAAAAAGGAAAAAGTTTGGTGAGGGGATGGGAATGCTGACAAGGCCACTGTCCGCCCCCCTTAGCAGGGAAGGGAGGTTTGGGGTGAAGGCACAGGACTCTGGGGTTCTAGTCTGTCCTCGGCCACAGATCCGTACTGTCCCTTTGCCTCTCTGTACCTCTGTTTAGCCAGTTAACCAGCAATATCATTGATCGCAAGGATGGAGGAGCGAAATTCCTTACTACTTGTGAGGTGCTTCGCTGAAGGCTGTAGAAATGTCTAGGACTAACTACCATGTGAAAAACTAGGGGGGCTGGAGGTTCAGGAAACCAACAGATGCGGCTAAGAGCCCATCAGGGCCCCTTCTTTGTAAAATAGGTAACAACTTGTTTTTGGGGCGCCTGTTGATGTCGGGATGGTGTGCTAAAGCTGTCTAGAAATGGAAGGTGTGCCAACAGTGGAACCCACCAACCGACGGAGTCTACTGCAGGAGACGCTAATTGTGTAAAGTCTATGGCCAGTTCCCGTGAAATGTTAGGACGTCCTTATTTCCTTAACCCATCACGCTGACCGAAACAGCTGTACGTAGAGGCCTTGGTTGAACTTGTTTTTGGAAAGCAGGCCTTCGATTGATGGGTACTTGAACTAGTTACATACATATTGTGCCTGGACTGCACAAAACTTTTTCAAACAAGTCAAGGCCCTGGTGATTGGGGGGACTTCCAGGCACGGACTCCTGGAATCCTGCCAGCAGCTGTTAGGGCAAGGATGGCAAAACATGGATGAAGGAAAGGTTACACCCCCTAAAGGGATGCAAGGGAGCGATCATTTTCTATTAATCCGTGTCTGTCGCTTACTTTTTCCTTTTCTTACGGTCTAAGTTGTGGGCCTAACAGTGTCAATGGGGACTGGTGAGAAACTTTCACCCTAAAATATTTTTGATTGGAAAATTAGGTTGTCAGTGAAATGAATTTTATCTTCAGCCATTGACTTTCTGTGGGAAATTTTGATTTGGTCAAAAAACGCAGATGCCCGAAAAAGAAAGTATTGCAGTTTTAAAGCTTATGTGAATTCTTTGAGCTTAATATGCTTTAGTTTTCGGCAGCATCCCCACAAAAGCCACACAGGCCTGGTGTAGCTTAGAAAGCTTTGCCAGTTTATACTGGTGCAGATACAGTTCTACCCATTTAAAAGTGCCTGTGCTGGTGTGTCTGTTCTTCACACTGGAAGGGAAATAAGTTTTACTGGTGTGAGGCACCTTTATCCTGGTACAGCTTAATCCAGATTGGGGCTGTGGTGTATAACTATATTGGTGGGGGAAAATCACACCCCTAACCACCATAGCTATAACAGTGTAACTAGTGTAGATCAGACCGTAACTGGGGTCTGTAGACATTCGTATGCAAATATCTCTAATGGCAAAAGGAGCCTTGGTAGCCACACAGAGTAGCAGTGTCAGGGTTAATCTCTTAAAAATAATTGTGCTTTAGCATCAGAGTCAGAGCTTCAGGCTGCAAGAGTCAGGCTGTTGGTAGAATGTGGTTTCTTTGTGTTGATTTCAATCAAACCTCAGGGACGGAAAAATGCAACTGACACTGAAGTAAAGGAACTCATGAATATTAGCGACTGAGGATGTCTATAGCCTGTGGTCCATATTGTAGAAGTGTGATACTGTGAACAGAATTGATCTGGATTAGAATTATGTGCCCCCCTCGCCCCACCTTTTTTTTTTTTTTTTAAACTGTGGTAGAGGAATAGAATTTGCTTTGACACCAAGGCAAACGAGTAACTTTTTTGTTAAAAATAAAAAAATCTTTATTAGCTTTGTTAGAGAAAAGGACACTTATCAGAATGAAGGACGCCCTTTATAAATATGTCTGAACAAAAATACTTAGCACAGAGAAAATGTTAGGAAAATAATGTATCCAATTAGAAATAAACATTGCAGTCGAAAAATAATGTACGTAAGGAAGTAACTAAGCTGTGTGGGGCAGAGCTCTCTTTTTGGTCTGTGTTTGCACAGTGCACATGACTTGGGGCTCTTGGGTACTAATATAATACACACAATTAAGAAAAAGAATTGAAGAGATACGTGCTTCAGTGTTTGCAGGATGGGGAAATTCGCTAAAGACGTGATAAGGAGGAAGAGTTTCTATGTAAAGGATAAACCAGATTATTTATCACTGGAAGTCCAAACTGATAAAAATATTATAGGAATATATTGACATTGGGGGAGAGAGGGATTCTTTGGTAGAAGCAACAGTGAATCAATTATTCTAATACTGCCCTGTAAATTAAGGCCTTTATCCAGAAAAAAAAAATTGAACAAGTGCTTAACTTAAACGCGGTGACTATTTCCATTGATATCAATGGCATGTGTGTCTAGCTGGACAAATGCTCACATCTATATTTAGAACAAATTCCAGCAGGGTGGAATTTCAAAGAAGATAGTCTGGTAACCTGTGTCAATATTTGGGAAGTAAGCTGAGCTCGTCGGTGGGGACGTGACGAAAGCACTGGGGTGCAGGAGTGAGGCAAAATGCTCCACCAAGGAGAAGTCATGACGACAAGCCAAGAAACCAGAAATTCTTCAGGTCACAAGACGACAAAGGAGCTCATGTGATAGGAGAAAAAACAAACAAACCCAAATATTTAGAAACAGAATATAAATTAGAGCAGTGATAACTCAGACTGAGGTGCAAGCCACAAATGGCGCTTTAATGTGTCTCTCCTGTGACTCTTTGCAGCACATGATATTAAAACACCGTGATTTAATTATTAACCAATCTATGTTATTAACCAATGAAGTTATTAAATTATTTGCACTGAGAATAATTATAAACTAAATAGTCCCCGTCATTCCCACACCTATGGCTCTTTCGGGTGATGCTGGTGGCTAATTGGGCTCCGGAATCACTGAGCTCTGAGTATCACTGAGTTAGAGACTCACAACAAGCCGAGTTCTGTACAAGCAGACACAGAGATGGGGGCTGCTGAGCTATTAGCATCGGGGTTTAGATGCTCTTCATTGATTGATTTGGATTAAGTAGCACAGAAGCGACTGTAATTGGTCTCTACCACGACGAAGCCCTGGTTGTGGGTGTCCGTGGTGGTGCCGGAGATTCCTGAGGACAAGTTAATGGCCAGGCAGGTGGGGTAATAGCACCACAACTTCCTCTCCAAGGGGGAGAATGCGGGGTGTCTGCAGAGACCCTCCTCCCATGCACAGCTCTGCTGGTGCCCCTCAACCCCGACCTGCAGCCCCTGCTAGCCCAACCCCCAGCTGGCCCCAACTCCCCCCAGCTCTGTCAGTGCCCCTCAATCCCAACCCACAGCCCCCTGCTATCCCAGCCTTGGCCTCCCCCCAGCCCCAACCCACAGCCCTCTGCTATCCCAGCCCTGAGCTCACCTCTCCCCGTGTCCCTCCCACGAGGGCAGTACCAGCAAGAAATTATTTCTACTTGCACCTGAGCACAGAGGTCCCTTCTTCTGGCTTTGTAAGCTATGAATTTTGCACAGGGGGAGTTTGTTGCTGCTATAATCTACTGGGACTGCCCCTGTGATACTGAAGATCCTGTCCCCCTCTGTGGGGAGCCGTGGATGCAGAAGGGGAAAGATGCTAAGTCTCAATTGTGGATTGATCCTTTCACTCTGTCCCTGACCCGTCTGTGCCAGAGGAGTGAATCTCCCCTGTGCTCTGCTGCCATCTCAGAGCCGCTCCCCATTCAGAGCCGGAAAGGTGGAAGTTGCCTGATTCACTCTCCAGCTGGAGCAGATTCTGTCACTGACACAATCAAACCCTCCTCCAAGGGCTCA